ATGCATTATCTACGCGTCCTACGGGTGAGCGTGACGCGCGACGGAAGTCAGAAGGCGTGGAACAATCGAGACAAAGTGAAACAGACGCAACAATTACAAGTGCGTTGCAAGTGCAAGTGCGTTGACTTATTCCTAAAGCATTAAATTCAGATTCCTCTGATGAACACATGATTATTTGTAATTACTCATTACTAATTAGCATCTTGATTAACTTTTTATTCGATTATGCAGCAAACCTGCTGTACTACACTCACACGCGCGCGCGCAATATATATCATATGATATGTTAACGTATACACGTTAAAAACCTGAATGTAATACCGACAAATAAGAAAATGAAACACTATGCATAAACTAAATGACACAAGGGGCAAGGGAAATCGGTTGCCCGCTCCACCTAGTCTCTTACAATTTTCAGACTTCTGATTATTATTGACTAAGTGAGCAAGAGACGTGATTGGGTAGAGTGCCCGACCGATCCCCTCTGCTCCTCGCGTCAACTAGCTTGTGGGTCTCCTTGTTTACCAGCAGAAGTCGGTTTCGGCAGGTCATAGAAAAGTGGGGAGAACGGATGTGCATGTCAGACGGAGCGAGCGGAATGCCCTCCTTGCCCCTCTGCTGAAACGACGAACTTCTGAGCAACGGACAATGGTAAACGGAATGTTTCCATCATTGTTAATCTTTGTAAACACTATGTCGAACTGAGGCAACTACGATAGAAGATTAGACGACAATTAAATCCTTCATAAAGGTGAACAAACTTTAAAGTCGATTTTATCGAAAACGGAACCCCGGAATTTTTTCTGCTCGGTTATACTAAGAATTCCAGTCCACCCTATACAGAAATACGTGTCAGTTTAGGAATCTTGACAATCTGATAATTTGTATTGCAACTATGCATTTAGATTCGTCGGGATATTAAGAAAAATGCAATAAAAAATCTATTTGTGAGTGTTCTTTAATTTGATTTAGTGTTTTCATCGATTTAATGATAACACTTTCCGTGACACTCCTATGAAGCGAAATAAATTTATTATATTATTATTAATCATATATTATATATTGTATATTTGTATATTGGTTTATTTATAATACAAATTTGGACTATTTTTCTTATAGACCTATTGACTTCTTCTTATTAATGACTATCTTTTGACTATTCCATTTGAATTTGTTTCCAATAATAATATCATAACGTGATATCACTTTTTTAATCACGTTACGCAGTGGTGGTAGCACAATTTTTAGTTCTCGTTATATAAGTACCACGTCATGATATGTATGCAAAGGACTTACATATTTCATATGGTATGTGTGTTTCATTAGACAGTCAATTAAAAAACTCAGTCATAATTACTGAAGACATTAAATTACTCATCCGCGATTATGTAAAAGATGATTAACATTATTATCTAGTAAAAAATTCAATCTGTCCATAAAATTTTAAACAATACCGACTTTTGTCGTGAAACTAATGAAACTCGATCGCAGCCATTACGTAAACAGTAGTTAACATTATGATGACGAAAAACAGTAAGTAATTCGATCTGTCTATGAGGTAGGAAACAACGTTGATTTTTGTCCACAAAATGATGAAAATTGACCATAGCCATTGTGTAAACGATGGTTAACGTTACAGTTCCTAGAAATAATACGAAATTCGATCTATCCGTAATGTTTCAAACAATATTGATTTACGTCCTTAAAATGATGAAAATCGACCACGGCGCGCGGTGGCTCGATCGTCGTCCTGGCCTCATGGGGTGGAAGGTGAATGGATATCGAAGACAAAGGTGGTCTCACTCGAGGACGCAGGAACGCGGAAGCGGGCGCAGCCGCGAGAATCGTAACCAGGGAGGGCGCCGACGCCGACGGCGCCGCCGGCGTTGCCGTTGTCGCCGCCGCCACCGCCGCCGCTCGTGGACGTCAGTAGAGATGCCGCGTTCGCGAGTACGGTGTATCGACGGTGCCAGTTAGCCCGTGGGGTAGCTACGGGGTGGATCCACCCGAAAGTACGGCGAGAGGGGTGCGTCAGGACGCGGGGAACGCTCGCAAGAGCGACGGTGCGTCCTCGACTTCCGCCTAACCCTTTCGAATCGCTCTTCAAAACCTGCTGCGACCCTTCCAATCCCCTTCGCCCATAATTCGCCGCGACCGGAGCAAATTGAACACGTTCACTGCCGAGTTGTTCCACCGAACGGATGGCCGAAAGTTTGACTTTTAAGTTAGCATTTGTCCGTCGGCCGCGACGCGTTCCTTTACGTAAAAAATACAACGGTTCAGTCTTGTTTCACGGATCTGTGTTACCGATATCGTGTAAATGCATCGTATTGTTTTAGCGGGCGATGTTTCATACATCCCGAGTGCTTCTCTTTGTTGTACCATGGAGGCCTAATAATTGGCCAAACCACGCGAGCCACATGTCTGCGAGTACGGAGCGTTATACCGTCGCGAAACGTTTAAAAAGTCGATATTTATGGAGACTCGGAGACTTTTCGTTTTCGGACTCCTTTGTTTCGCAACCTTGAAAACATTCGTGTCTCTGACGCGGCAAACTTCGTCTTCTCAGAACCGATGAATTTGAATTTGCGACGCTTAGTTCCAACAAATAGTGTTCGACAACTCGTACTGCTTTTTTTCTCATAACTGTAAAACGATGCTCGCGAAGTTCTACGAAAGTTGTTCGAAAAGGAACCGAAGAACGTGTAAATATCTCTGGATTGGAACTGGACGAAAGTGTTTGTTTATTTAATAAAGAGTTTTGGATCGAGTCGGCAGTTCTAGATCAGCGAATAGACGACGAAAGGCCCGCGATGCACGAGCAGACACGGTTCGACGATGATCAGACGGCTCGTCCCTTCGTTCTCCCCTCGCGATCGATTTTATTTCCTCGCCTCGGGGATGATTCGCCGCGTACGAGCACGCGAACAAAGCCGCGGCGCGCGATGGTTAACCTTTGAACGGCCGACAGCTTGGCAAACATCGTTACCGTCGCGGAGACCGTTTCCAGACGGCTCTTTTCGACGCCTGGACACCCTCATTATCGCGCTGAACGTAGACCGGACACGATCGAAGGATCCACGGCCGGGAACCGCGGTCCGGCGTCGATCCTACTCGGAAATCGGGTGTTCGCGCGAGTGTTTACCAAGCTTTCGAGTTTAAAACGCCGGAGACGACGATGCTTCAGGCTGGAGGACCGTGAAAAATGTTGGGAAACGAATTCGTCCTGCTCGAGGGAACTTGGACACTTACAGCTGAATTTATTACGACTCGAGAGCCTCGTGGACGATGTTAATAAGCGTTTGCCGCGGATCGGGGGATGCGAGCATCGATCTCCAACTGTGAATCTATTCGTTTACTCGCGGTTTCGAAAAACTTTCTTTCTGTTGGTTCAATTTTGAAACGTTGCTTTGTGCCCGGACTCTTCGTCGTCGACGTTTTTTCGTGGATTCCAGTAAACAAAAGATACCAGAGCTATTATGAAATTCTTATTTTTGGTAGTACAATGTTTCCGCGAATTGTTCCATTTTTTTCGATCGAGAAACTTTCGAATCTGTTCGGAGAGTTCTCATTAGAATCCTTACTTTTTGATCATTTCGCTGCATTACGAATTGTTCTATCAACTTGTGAATTAAAATTATTGAAATATTGCGAAAATGCGAATGGAAATTAATTTTGACTCGCCTGTAAAAAGCTTTGTTCATTACAGTTTAAATATATAGAATCATTTCTCGATGAAAATTCTGTAGTGTTCTTCACGGTTCGGATGCATCCTGATGCAATTCATTCCTGAGTTTGCTCCGTTGCTGAAAACCCGTGCTGCTTTGATGTACAATTCTACTTGAGAAAAGTAATCGAATTATTGCTATCGCAGTAGAACAGACCGATGCCCGGGAAGTAGAGGAAACCAAGAAACATCTATGAAATGGATAAGCTCGCGATCTGACCCAGGAAAACTTCGAAAAATCTAAACGTTCCCGGAACCGACTCAATCAGCTCAACCATGAATCGAGAAAACGAAGAAGTACGCAACCACGAAGTGTCACTTAAATATTTCTGCAATTTTGTTGTGCTCGTTTCTAGTCGTTTAGCAATTTCTAAACATCGATGATATGGGTCTGATAATGGGTACTGTGTCGTTTAAATATTTTTACTATTCTGTGTCGTGCTTTTCTTAGTTGCCTAACAATTGTAAGTTTCAATTTTTTTGTAACAATTAACAAGTTTTAAACTTGTAGTTCCGATAACGAGCATTGTGTAGTTTTTTTTAAAATATTTCTATTATTCTGTTGAACGCTTTTAGGTGTTTAACAATTTACAAATTTTGAACTTGTAGTTCTGATAATGAGCATTGTGTATTTTTTTTTTTAGTATTTCTATTATTCTGTTGTACGCTTTTAGGTGTTTAACAATTTACAAATTTTGAACTTGTAGTTCTGATAATGAGCATTGTGTATTTTTTTTTTTAGTATTTCTATTATTCTGTTGTACGCTTTTAGGTGTTTAACAATTTACAAATTTTGAACTTGTAGTTCTGATAATGAGCATTGTGTATTTTTTTTTTTAGTATTTCTATTATTCTGTTGTACGCTTTTAGGTGTTTAACAATTTACAAATTTTGAACTTGTAGTTCTGATAATGAGCATTGTGTATTTTTTTTTTTAGTATTTCTATTATTCTGTTGTACGCTTTTAGGTGTTTAACAATTTACAAATTTTGAACTTGTAGTTCTGATAATGAGCATTGTGTATTTTTTTTTTTAGTATTTCTATTATTCTGTTGTACGCTTTTAGGTGTTTAACAATTTACAAATTTTGAACTTGTAGTTCTGATAATGAGCATTGTGTATTTTTTTTTTTAGTATTTCTATTATTCTGTTGTACGCTTTTAGGTGTTTAACAATTTACAAATTTTGAACTTGTAGTTCTGATAATGAGCATTGTGTATTTTTTTTTTTAGTATTTCTATTATTCTGTTGTACGCTTTTAGGTGTTTAACAATTTACAAATTTTGAACTTGTAGTTCTGATAATGAGCATTGTGTATTTTTTTTTTTAGTATTTCTATTATTCTGTTGTACGCTTTTAGGTGTTTAACAATTTACAAATTTTGAACTTGTAGTTCTGATAATGAGCATTGTGTATTTTTTTTTTTAGTATTTCTATTATTCTGTTGTACGCTTTTAGGTGTTTAACAATTTACAAATTTTGAACTTGTAGTTCTGATAATGAGCATTGTGTATTTTTTTTTTTAGTATTTCTATTATTCTGTTGTACGCTTTTAGGTGTTTAACAATTTACAAATTTTGAACTTGTAGTTCTGATAATGAGCATTGTGTATTTTTTTTTTTAGTATTTCTATTATTCTGTTGTACGCTTTTAGGTGTTTAACAATTTACAAATTTTGAACTTGTAGTTCTGATAATGAGCATTGTGTATTTTTTTTTTTAGTATTTCTATTATTCTGTTGTACGCTTTTAGGTGTTTAACAATTTACAAATTTTGAACTTGTAGTTCTGATAATGAGCATTGTGTATTTTTTTTTTTAGTATTTCTATTATTCTGTTGTACGCTTTTAGGTGTTTAACAATTTACAAATTTTGAACTTGTAGTTCTGATAATGAGCATTGTGTATTTTTTTTTTTAGTATTTCTATTATTCTGTTGTACGCTTTTAGGTGTTTAACAATTTACAAATTTTGAACTTGTACTTCTCATAATGAGTACCGTGTGTTGTTTCACTATCTCTGCATTTCTCTTGTGCTTTTTTAGTTGCTTAACAAGTTGCGAACTTCAAACTTGTAGGTCTGATAATGAGTACCGTGTTTCGCTTTAACATACCTGCATTTCTGTTGCGCTTTGCCCAGTCGCCTAACAAGTTACAAACATCAAACTTTTAATTCTGATAATGAGCACTGTGTGTTGTTTCAGTGTTTCTGTAATTCTGTTGTGCTTTCACTTGTCTAATAAATTGCAAGCTTCAAAATTATGTCACAATTTATTTAATTGTCGAACATTGAAAGGAGTGATAAATTATTGTATTAGAACAAGCAGAAGCAATTTTTGGAACTTTTATGATCTCTTCTGCCATGATTTTTACTGATGATTGAATCGACTTTTTCATTGCAATTAGCAAATACTATCCCTCGAAAAGATTTCATTATTTATTCAACAAACTCTTTTTAGGAATAGAAATACAGATAGATTGATCATTATTTTTGTAAATAATAGGATTTATCTTTTTTCTGTAAATTATGAACGTTTTGATCAAATATATTTTAACGTGGTTTAACTTTTGATTGATATGATGAATTACGAAAAAATATGTAGTTTCTTCGAAACAAAAGATCTAGATCAACGTGGAAATATATTAAAGCAAGCAAAATTTTTAACACGTTAACTTTCAAACCCAAAAAATCATAAATTCCAAATGTGTAAGTTAGCCAACTGGTCCGCAAATGTTTTAAATTTTTTTACAGTGCTTAACATCTATTTACATTTTCCAAATTTTACTGTAACTCGGCTTACGTAACTATGACACAACAAATATCAGGATTCGAAAGTAAATAAAAAATTGTGTCAGTATATACGACTGACACGGCATTCAACGTGTTAAAATTCTGTTCGTAATAAGTTGCCTGCGAAAAATAAAATTTTTTCATTCACTGAAAAATGCTATGTTGCAATTCAGTCTCTTCATCATTTTACATTGTACGTGCTCAATTTTGTCACAAAAGCATAAAATCCGCAGCCTAGTAATAACTCTGCCAACTCTCACTGTCCCTATTTAGCCAGTTGAAACTGTTATAAATAGACTGCGGATTTTATGCATTTATGACCAAAACGAGATGGTGCAATTTAAATGTTAGAAAGATTGAAAGAATTTAAGAATGTTGATGCGTTATTGTCAAGATATCAAGATTGTTTAAGAAACAAAAAAACTTCTATGTAAATACGTTGCTTGCAAAATTAATGTAGACAATTCTTATTTCTATTTTTAAATCCCCACTCCAGTTCTAAATATTTAAGCGATTTTGACGAACGTTTCGTGTTATGCAGCAGCGGCCAGAGTCCCAAACCCTGTGCGGAGCGTTGCAGAAGGAGCCAAACTGCAAGTGCTTGGTACTTTCTGTGTTAATATACGGCTGCCTTGCCGCAGTGACGTGGTGTAGATGCGCGAATGTCACCAAGGTACGTCACTTCCTCTGCAACACGGGATTCGTCAGTCGGTAGTACTAGCCATTTCATTCACCAGGACTAGACAAATCGATCTTCGCACAATCCTTTCACGTCCCCGCAGTTAACCGACCCTTTTCAGTTCTATAAGCGCTGATCGTTAGCTCGCGTTTACGCAAATTCACATGCTTTAGGGAACCGATATCGTTAGCTATTAGGTTGTTCCGAATGATCGTCTGACATTTTATCGAGTTTGTTTTGTTGAATTCATATAAAAGATTCGAAACGAACTTTCCAAAGAACCTAATAATTAAACGTATCATAAATAATTTCTTTGCTAGACTCGTTGATTATTATCAGTTCAAAGTTTACAGTTAAGAATAAGATTGCGTTAATCAAATTCAGATCGGAGGTAAACAATGTTTCTCGAAAATAGTATCTGTTCCAGGTTGTAATCAATTTTTCGAAGTATCTAATTAGAAGCACTAGACACGTGTCCCCGTGCGACGATGGCTACATATACATTCCTGTAAGTACTTAACGCTTCAGCTACTACCCTGTTTAGATAGATCAACGGGCGAAACATCTATTCTCGGAATAGTGTCCTCTGAGCTCTTCTCAATTGTTTGAAAATTACAAATGGATTATAATTTGTAAAATACGAAAAGATTAATATTATATCATTCCATAACAGATGTCGATTTGGAAATTGAATTTTTTGTCGAGCATAAAGAGATGCGAAATTTATTTTAATCTCTGATATATTCACTGGACACTTAATTCCGGATAAGACAAGAGACAATCTTCTCCCGCTTCATTCAAAGAAATTATCTCGATTTTGTTTAATCTTTAGCTCGATAAAATTGCAATGTTAATTAGCAAATTCCCTCGAGTCAAGAGAATCTCTAATTGATCGACGCGGTAGAATCTCGATTGTCTGCGCTAAGCTGGGTGACATAAATCTACGGATAATAGAACAGTTATTATTAGACTGCAGATCTTTGTGCAAAATGAAAAATATCTGCGTCAATTGCAGGGCGTATTGATCAATGCAATTGTTTCTCATTCTTAAGTAATTTTAACACTCTATATAATCCGGATTGTTTAGATGGGTTCCAATAAATTTATGTAAGTTAAAACTATTGAATATCAATTTCTAGGTATAAATCAACAACGGATTTACAATTTTTAATAACAGTAAATGGTATAGCCGGATACGGTGGTAAAAAATGCCCCTAAACCAAATTGAACTTGCAAGGAACCATTCGATAGCTTATCGGAAAAGCATACTATGTACAAGTTTTCAACCCTATATGTCGACTTGGGGGGTAGTAATGGGGTGACAAAGAAATTCACGTTTTTCCGCAATTCCTCTTATCTTTTCGAATTGGAGATTCTAAAAATATCTGGAATATGTTAACTATTAGGATACATGTCCATGAATATTTTCAGAATTTTTGGTTTCAAAACCAAATTTTTAAAAATGAAAAAGGTTTTGAAATGCCAATTTCAAATTTTTAATTTATAAGAGTTATGAAGTGACTAAATTTATATTTTTACAGTTTTAGCATCTACTTATGTTTGTTAACATATAATTTTTTCGAAATTTTTCAAATTGGTGGCACATAGTTAAAAGAATTAGAAACCAGTAACTTTTTATATTGCTAGAGGTATCAGTCGTTCAATTATGTTAATATTATTACAGTTTTACTAGCTCATTATGATTGTTAACATAGAATTTTTTCAGATTATTTAAAAAGGTGTGTCATATTGAAAAAAATTGAGCTATTCTTTGCCTTTCCTAGCTCAAATGTATTATATAATTAATTTCTTAGATTGATATTATATCAAATTCTAAATAATATAAATATATATATATATTACTTTTCACGGCAGAATTCTTATCTCTCTGCTGCATTAGTCTTCGTCGCTGTTATCGTTGATCACTGGATGTATTTCTTCAGTAGAAAATATTTTTGAAAGAATTTCTGCCGGCCTTACAATTTGTGAAAGATATCGAGCATGCGATAAGTAATAAATTGTTGCTACTGTATGGGAGTAACACATGCTGGTGCGATTACCATTTGCTCATTCACAGTAATATATATATAACGTCTGATTTCGACACAACCTATTACATGAGATGTATATTTTATATAACATTTATAAATCTTGCTATTGATGTGTCGTGATCGCACTTGAAATTGGATTATATGTTTGTCCTTCTTTAGGTATTGGAGATTAATATAATTTTCATCAGCAATTAGATAATAAAATATTTTCGTCCGTAGGATTGTACTGCCGAATTGCTTGTTTTCTACATAATACATTTGCGAATTGATTATCTTCAGATATAGAAATCTCCGAGGAAATAGTTACAAAAATTTTAGCACCTAAAAATGTACCTAATACATTAGCACTAGAAGTCGAAGAAAATCGGTGGAATAGGCGGAAAGTTCCATTTGAACAAGTCAAAGCTATAGACTTATTAGATTTTCCAGAATTGACGGAACGAGAACTAAAAATCTTTTTTACTAGGTCCTACCAGTTACCCCAAGCGATATCTTACGTAGCGGAAATAATAAACGATGAAAATGATATTAATCTTTGATTCCTATAATATAAACTCTATATATATAAAGAATGACAATGCAAACATAACGCTGCCTATTGTTGCAAATCAAAATTACTTTCTTGCCAACCCAATAGACAGAATATACATATGCATATCTCATACAATAGGTTTGTGCCGGAATCAGACGTTATTACTGTGACTGAGCAAATGGTAATCGCACCAGTGGATGTTACTCCCATACAGTTGCGACACTTGATGATGAAGGAAAGACGCCCAAACAAGATACTTCTTCTACATTGTTACACAGAGATATAGAAGATTGAAATTAATACATCAACATTTTCAGTTTCTTTTAATCACTTCTCTATTTTATATTTCATGTATCCATTTTTTTTCATGAACGCATAAAATCAGTGCTCTAGTAAATCTTTATTGATTCGATGTGACTATCGTAGTATGTGTTGTTTACATGTGAGAATTTTAACAGTCGAGGATCTTCTGTGCTTACTAGACTGCGGATTTAATGCATTGACGAATTATAAAATGAGCGAATAAAATACAAAACACTGAAAACATTAGAAACATTGAAAGGCGCCGTCATAATACTTTCAACATAGTAAGATTATATTGAAAGGAGAAATAGATCTTTAGCGGTAACTCTCGTTTCTGGAGATTCAAGCTGAAAATGTTTATTTCGCATAATGATCCGCAGTCTAGTACTTTTCTATACAAAAGTAATTGGAGAAATATTGATTGTTCCTTGGAAGGTGGCGTTCATGGGAATGTTGTACCTGGTCTACCTGGTCGAGTGTTACCACTCGCCCATTAGAATCGATCTACTGCACACGGAGAGCCAGGACAGCGTGCTGTCGAAACTGTTGCAGCTGAAGTCCGCCCAGCCGACGATCTGGTGGAAAGCCGTCTCTTATCATTACGTGCGCCGGAAACGCCAAATTACCCGGTACAGAAACGGAGACAATTACACGACGACGCAGGTAACGCATAGCGCGCAACGTGCAACGCATATCTCGTTATCCAGACGATGGGAGATCGCGGGATGGTAAATCGTCGATACGCTTCGCGCGAGCTTCAACGAACCGTCTCTGCGAGGACAGATGGACCATTCCTTCGAAACTATCATTGACTTTTCTTCATTATCTGAAAATTCCTGATAGATCTTGTCACCGTTGACAAATAGTAGAAAACGCCAGAGATCGAAACGGATACTCTTTTGTTTTGGATTCCATTTGAAATTGAAATCTCTCTTATTGAAATCATCGGAACACATGGACTATTTTTACAAGTGTACAATTGTGTTCGGTAACACGTTGAGCACACGTTAACTGCTATAACAGTAACTTATTCGATTTAATTACTAAAAATTGAACAATATTTCCGTATGCGTTGATTTTTTATGGAAAAGACCTTTTTTAGAGGCTGTTCTCACGGGACAGATATTTTACAGTCTGTTTAACAGAAGTTCTATGGAAATAAATTGTATGAGAATATTTATTAATAATGGTTTCATAAGGGAAACATGAACAAGCTTTGAATTGTGAATCAAGTTGGAGTGCTATTCATTGAATAGTATTCAGAATGGGCGACAATTCAGAACTGTTCGAATAGCGATAGATACATCGCGGATTTTCTGCAAAATAAAAACAATCTTTAATTGCAGAAAGCAAGAATTACATAAAAATTCGTTTTCCATCTTAACAGTTTTAATAAATCGACACTATTGAAAGAATTTTCTAAAAATTATCTCCAGTTTTTACTGTTTTATATATTACGTTCGTTATAAACGCATAAAATCTGTACTTCAGTCAACGAAATATACCTGATCTCGTTATAATACACATTTTACTCTTGTACGTATTTCATAGCTTCTATTCAAACTTTTACTTTCAAGAACTTTTCCTTTATCTGTACTCGTCGGAACTTATAATGAGGGAACGTTTTTCAAAAACGTTCTTTGGTCCACTTTTCCAACATAGAACCTGTTCAAAAGTTGTACAACTCTTTCGATCCCTGAGCAGCACAATTTTCATTAACTTCCCCAAATCTGCTTCATTAACCCAAGCATTCTCACACACTCACCTTTTAGAAGAGTACATATATTCTAAATGATAACAACCTTGTAGTGACAATGTTCGAGGTCGATGAAGCGCTTCCAGCGAGAATTAGTCACAATTCTGACCTACTTCTACCTTATCCTTTTTATAAATAAGCGAGTCGATACCTTTATTCATTAGTAAACCTGTACCGAACTCTGACGAACCTCTTAGCAGATCATCATAAAGATCCGTTCTTTTTAATGGCCCATCTCTCCTCGATCGGTCCTCGCTCCTAACACGATCCATCATCTTCAGGTCTACTACGAAAGGATCAACACCCACGCAGCGACGTCCTTTTACTACTACGATTACTGCGGCGTGAAGGACATCAGCAAAGAGCTGATACTGGACCCGAAGGTGCCGATCACGAAGATCAACCTGAGCAAAGGGTTCGCGTTCTCGAACATGAGATCGGCAACAGAGTTCGAGGAAGCCAGGTCCAGATTCTTCGCGGAGCAAGTAAGACACCTCAGGGTACGCTAATCTTCGTTAATCGATTGTTTAATCGATCGATGAAAATGTTGTTATTCCAAGGAGTTAAGAGACGACTACATGGAGATGCGGGAGGGTCTCGATCTCGGATACAACCCGAATCCCACGACTCTGGTGGCCGTTCTTGGGAATCCTTGGTTCACAAATCGCTACGTTTACTGGTCCCTTAGCGCTCTGCTGCTCAGCTGGCCCCTGAGAGTTATCATAGAATACAAGACCCAGTACGCGGACTACCAGGTGAATGGAATCGTCGTTCAACTCAGTTCGACATTGTTGACATCGACTTCTCAGTGACAAAGAACGAATCCTCATTCTTAGATCACCAAGTTGTTCGGCATCAACTATGACACGCCGAACGGGAGCGAGCCGATCCACGCGTCCATGAGCCAGCAGACAATCAGCCAACCGGGATCTTACATGTTAGCACCCAGCTACAGCGAGGCACTGCTGATGGACCCTGTTCCCGATTCGAGGCCCGCCGAGTCTCAGGACGCGAGTATGACGGAAATGGTCCCGAGCTATTCGGAGGCTTTGCTCTACCAACGTGCAGAGCAAGCCTGCATCGCAAGCCAGGCAGCAAACGCGGATTCTGGCAGCAGCTACGATCTGCCGCCGCGCGAGTGTTCCTGTCCTTGTCACGTCTCTACCGAGAATCGGGCCTCGGAGGAAGGGTCCTGTTCGAGGGACGAAGACGACGGCCAGTCGAACGACGCCAGTAGACAGCCCCTGATCGAGACCACGATCGATGTTCACCCTCCGCCGTGCTCGTACACCATTCAAACAGAGACCGGGAAATGTGGAAGTTGCGGAAAGTACTTGGTTGAAGCGCAGTTGGAGAACGACCCCTCCAGAGACCCCGGCACTAGTCCGTTAGAAATGACTAGAGTCGTCAGGAGAGATCTAGCATGCGGCGTGATCCCTAGAGACATGTCCGAGCCGAATCTGAGGAGCAAACCAGACCTCGCAGAGTCTGAGACGAGATTTCTCCGATTGAATGGGCAAAGTTTGAGGAATATACTGGAGAACGAGCAGGAGGAGGAGCTCAGCAGTGATGAGAGGATGGAGGATCTGAGCCACGGAGGATTGCACGTTCCGGTAGATAGAGGAAAATTCAGGTTCTCTTTGTGCTCGTTAGACGAAGCTAGTTCTAGATCCAGAGTCCCGATAGACGTCGGCAGAGGTGCCATACCCAAGAGGACGACTGCCAGTCGAAGTAGAGTAATATCGAATCCTATGTCGAACGACCCTTCTGCGTTGCCCAACTCGAAGACCTACTTCTGTCTGAAGTCGATCCTGAAGCAGAACAAGCGGAGATACACGCTGATCACCGCCAAAGAGCTGCAGAACTTCTCGAACAACGAGGAAGGGGATAATGTAGGGCGAAGCCAAGCTCGAGCCTCGTATCACGAAGGCTGCACACCTGCACTCGCGTCGACGAGCAACGGACCTGCGAAATTGGATCTATTATCGAGGTCCAGGGAGAGTTTAGACAGCGCGATGAGTAGGTGGAAGAAGTTGTTGGAGGATCTGCCTGCGAACAAGAGCGAGGAGACTCCTGCGGGCTTCAAACGCGAGAATACTAGGTGAGTGTACTACTTACTAGCTTGTGGATTTGTTACGCTGAATCTACCAAGCCCTAAAGGTAACGCGTGATACTTTATAACGATAAAAAAGCGGTATTTATTTAGCCCTTCCGGCATTGTTATTATAATATGAGTTAAGAAATTTATTCAATCATAATTTGTATGAGAAAGTCTTTATGATTTCAGCAACTTTAAAACAATAAATGTGGTTTTGACCAACTCGGTAAATTTAATGTTAAAATCTTCTATGCCTTATAGTTTAATACTCTATCCGTTAATTTTTCTCATAAATGCATAATATCTGCAGTCTAGTACTCTAGCAGACGACATACCTCACGCCTCACAGTAGAGTATTTGATCCGAAAAACTAGGCAAAAGTCGATTTAGAAAATTATGTGTAAAATATAGAGAATTTTGTGTATTTCCAAATGAATCCCAATGCTTGCTTTAATGTAATTAAAATCAGTACGGTATTTTTTCATGATACAAACAATATTAGCTGTCAAATTCGTGTGTATAAGAATTTTTAATAGTTTTTAATTACACTAAATTTAGAGTTCGATGAAGAATGGGACTAACTCATTTAAATTCATAATTGCAAAAGAACATTTTTATCAAAGTAAAATAATATAAACGAACATATAATATTTCTAAACATTTATAATTGCATTTGTAAATTTTTTATCCTGTGCACTTTTCTATCGTAAACCGTTGTTTCGTTTTTAATATCCCCGCTTTTGTTCTATATAAAAATTAAGAAAAACATTTTGGCTAGCTTTTGAAGCGAAATAATCTACGACGCGTCTTTTCCCTGCTCCTAGTCTACCGATTGGCGAGAAAAGTATGAAAGAGGATAGATAAGCTATATCTGCTTGCGACAGTTCTCATCTGATACCGATTCCTTTCGTCGCCTGAATAAAATGTCCAGTTGATATCGGTGCTGACCTAATTCCAGACTATTCTCGAGTTAATTTTCTAAAAGACCCGATCTTGTCCACAGAACTCTGATCTTCGCAAGCCCGATTCAAGAAGTGTGTCCTGGAGACCCATTCGGGGGTAAGGATGTGATTCGAACCAGGCAAGAGGTCGACTCTACTCCAACCGACGAGTCGCCTAGTCACACGGTGCTGACCCAGCTGGGAAGATCGCTAGCCCGCGACCGGAAGGGCTCGAGACGCCGGTTTCAGGACTTCAAACGGCAAAGATACTCGGACACGTCCCATCCGTCCTCTTTCTCCTGTCCGCCCGATCGCCAGCACCCTTATCCCTACGCTTTTTCAGCGTCCACGGACGCGGTAGACACCATCGATTTCGACAAAAACCAGACGTCTCCTAGAGTCTACCAACAGGGAGCTTCTTTCCCACCGTACGAAGGCCCAAATCGCAATAGAGTAGCCGTTGACCAGCCTGCGGACCCGGCGGCGACGGAAACTAGCTCGAAATCACCCAGCAAGGAATTGACTCGCTCGTTGACAGAAAGAAGAGCTAAACCTATTCGAAACGACGCGAATCTACGGAGAAGTTTCACGGGCCGAGTCGAGGACTATCGAACCGAGAACAACAAATGGCCAAATCTGAACATGGAGACTTCGTTATAACGAAGGCACGCTGTCGCTTGTGGAACTCCGGATTATCCGTTCACACGAGTAATCGGCAATCCTCTTTCTACTAAACGGATGTCTGACAATTCTCTCCTATACGTTTAAACGTTCTGCGAATACGGGTTTTGTTGTTATTTGAAATATTGTTTGGACAAGGTATTGTTTGAACCGTTCGCAGGACAAATCGGCTAACTTTGTTTCTGCAATTTTTTAAAATCTTTGCGTCGTAGAATATTCTTTGCTTTTAACTTCTTATATTTTACCCTTTCAAACATAATCTGAACCCGGATTAAGATTCCATGCTGACCATGAATGTTATACATTTCATTTGAATCGGAAAAGATTTTTCTGTTATAAAAATCTTGGAACGAAAGTAAATGTAGATTGTAGATGTACAAGAAATAAAACTTGTATTTTTCTATTGGAGACGTTATTATTAAAGAATTCTAGTCGATGCAGATGTGAATAAAATAAAAGGAAGGAGTTAAAATCAATCTTTTTTAATGTTAGCTTCGACACCATGAAATCGTAACAATTTTGTTGGTCGTGAAATAGTAGACAGTTTTTTTGTCATATATCTATATTAGACAATTTATTATTACGTTCGTGATAGTATTATCCTGCAAGGTTTATTTGACTTCATATATTAAAGGGAATTTTAAAAAGCAATATACTACATAATGTATACTATACTATATCACTTTTCTCTATCTTTTGCTTTATGGGGTTAACCGATTTGGCAAATGAACGACTCGTTCGTCATGCTACTTTATTGTACGAAAGAATTTCTAGAAATGCTAATAATATCTTTGCAACAATTTATCTATAAATTACGTGAGGAATACTTTAATTTCTTCGAACAAAATACGTTTTGATCCCATAATGTTAATACATTGCGAGGACGTGTTCGAACGAACGTTTAAGCGGGATTGAAAAGTAAACATTTGCGGTCGTTTGTAAACGAAAACGGATGATCCGTTTAGTCCGATTTCGTGAGTGAATCAATAAACGTGTGAGCATTTAACACTTTCCGTGTCACGTCGTTCGTTCTAGAGGGACATAAACGGGTGAAACGAATTTTTATCTGATCCCAGTTTTCACAAATTTGTCCAGAGCAAATCTAATAAAATTTTGCCGACATCTTGACAATGAAAGTGTTAATCGTACAAACCGGCGATGAACAATCCGCCAGCCGCTAAAATCAAAGAAAATATGTCGAGGATCACGACGGTTCCCANTCGACTCTACTCCAACCGACGAGTCGCCTAGTCACACGGTGCTGACCCAGCTGGGAAGATCGCTAGCCCGCGACCGGAAGGGCTCGAGACGCCGGTTTCAGGACTTCAAACGGCAAAGATACTCGGACACGTCCCATCCGTCCTCTTTCTCCTGTCCGCCCGATCGCCAGCACCCTTATCCCTACGCTTTTTCAGCGTCCACGGACGCGGTAGACACCATCGATTTCGACAAAAACCAGACGTCTCCTAGAGTCTACCAACAGGGAGCTTCTTTCCCACCGTACGAAGGCCCAAATCGCAATAGAGTAGCCGTTGACCAGCCTGCGGACCCGGCGGCGACGGAAACTAGCTCGAAATCACCCAGCAAGGAATTGACTCGCTCGTTGACAGAAAGAAGAGCTAAACCTATTCGAAACGACGCGAATCTACGGAGAAGTTTCACGGGCCGAGTCGAGGACTATCGAACCGAGAACAACAAATGGCCAAATCTGAACATGGAGACTTCGTTATAACGAAGGCACGCTGTCGCTTGTGGAACTCCGGATTATCCGTTCACACGAGTAATCGGCAATCCTCTTTCTACTAAACGGATGTCTGACAATTCTCTCCTATACGTTTAAACGTTCTGCGAATACGGGTTTTGTTGTTATTTGAAATATTGTTTGGACAAGGTATTGTTTGAACCGTTCGCAGGACAAATCGGCTAACTTTGTTTCTGCAATTTTTTAAAATCTTTGCGTCGTAGAATATTCTTTGCTTTTAACTTCTTATATTTTACCCTTTCAAACATAATCTGAACCCGGATTAAGATTCCATGCTGACCATGAATGTTATACATTTCATTTGAATCGGAAAAGATTTTTCTGTTATAAAAATCTTGGAACGAAAGTAAATGTAGATTGTAGATGTACAAGAAATAAAACTTGTATTTTTCTATTGGAGACGTTATTATTAAAGAATTCTAGTCGATGCAGATGTGAATAAAATAAAAGGAAGGAGTTAAAATCAATCTTTTTTAATGTTAGCTTCGACACCATGAAATCGTAACAATTTTGTTGGTCGTGAAATAGTAGACAGTTTTTTTGTCATATATCTATATTAGACAATTTATTATTACGTTCGTGATAGTATTATCCTGCAAGGTTTATTTGACTTCATATATTAAAGGGAATTTTAAAAAGCAATATACTACATAATGTATACTATACTATATCACTTTTCTCTATCTTTTGCTTTATGGGGTTAACCGATTTGGCAAATGAACGACTCGTTCGTCATGCTACTTTATTGTACGAAAGAATTTCTAGAAATGCTAATAATATCTTTGCAACAATTTATCTATAAATTACGTGAGGAATACTTTAATTTCTTCGAACAAAATACGTTTTGATCCCATAATGTTAATACATTGCGAGGACGTGTTCGAACGAACGTTTAAGCGGGATTGAAAAGTAAACATTTGCGGTCGTTTGTAAACGAAAACGGATGATCCGTTTAGTCCGATTTCGTGAGTGAATCAATAAACGTGTGAGCATTTAACACTTTCCGTGTCACGTCGTTCGTTCTAGAGGGACATAAACGGGTGAAACGAATTTTTATCTGATCCCAGTTTTCACAAATTTGTCCAGAGCAAATCTAATAAAATTTTGCCGACATCTTGACAATGAAAGTGTTAATCGTACAAACCGGCGATGAACAATCCGCCAGCCGCTAAAATCAAAGAAAATATGTCGNTCTATTTCAAAATGTATAATTCTAATTCCAAGTGCTTGTGCAGAATGACGTAGTTTGATAAGATTTGAATAATATGATTCTATTTAAAGTTGTAGAACATATGATTCAATTTCAAATTATAAATGAATATAATTCTGTTATAGCCAAAATTGATCACAAATCTAATTTAGTATCGAATATGATTCCGTCTTGGGAGAGTGTTCTGTAAAATTCAATATCAACAATATGAGACGATCTAATGAAAATCTATTTCAGTAGAGAATTTAGAACTCTTGAGCTACTAAAACTGATCAAGCTAGAGTGCTTTCTGAAAGAGACAACAGCCAATATTGTTCTTCTCAATCTTGTGTAAAATATTAAATATATTTTAAGTGCATATGTAAATTAAAAGAAAATTAACACATCAGTAATCAAATATTCCAAAATATGTTAAACTTACTGTGTCGACATAAAGTTCTATTTATTGTGAAAATTAGTAAAATGGTAATCGATGCACTACACTTCATTGAGTTGTGCAGAAGTAAGAATTGAATATTTGCTGCAAGAGAATTACAGCAATTACAACAACAATTACAGCAACAGAAAATTATGCTACGAACACTTTTCTAAAGAACGTTTCATGTTTCGAGAACTTTTCAAAAAGAATCATATACACACAAGAAATTTTACTTAAATTATATAACGTCCTGTTCGAACATTATAGAAGAATAATTTCATAGATATCTACGGACAAGACACATCTCTGAAATAGCATTATGAGAATAGGAGGCGTCGTTTGGGGGGAATTGTAGATTGATTTTTGAAGAAAGAGAGATTGCTCGTCACCGATGGATACATGGATACGAGCCAGAGACGTAGTCGCCAGACTAATCGAATTGTAAATATCCGTCCTACCGATTTTCACGGTTCAAGATTCTTGTACATACACCGGATATGCCGGTGACTAGCGTCGGTCTGGGCTATTGCCCGGCCGGAACCGCCTTTGCTTGAAGCGTATGCGAGTTTCGACAGTAGATTGTCGCTTAGATCGGTTCGCGCGATCGGATCATGAATTCGAGAGCGTGAAATGCTGTCGATGTTGCCAATGGAACGTTCGTTAAGTGCCCCTCCTCCAAGCATTTTGGAAAATACATACAGAAGAACCTCGATACCTGCAACGCCGACGATTCGTACAGTCTCTAGCACGATAATTTGAGGTCGTAAAACCGGCTGGGTCATAAAATAACCATTAGACTGTGAATTTTATGCATTTTTGACATAAATGACCAGATCTAAAAAATAAAACTGCGAAGATATTAGAGGAGTTTGAGAACACGCTTTTGTATTACATATAACTTTTTAAAATTATTAAAAGACGAACGATATTTTTGTCTGATTTAAGATTCTTACAATTAACTTGGACAGTGTTTATCTTACATCAAATTCCGCGATCTGGTAATCGTGTTTGTGGTTTTCAGAACAATGACTTTGATTTATGGCCGGATTAGGACTCGAGACCATGGTCTGGAGCGTTCGAACAAATCATGCATCCGAAAAATATTGACAAAAAACAAAGACCAATCAGAGAGCAAAAGTTGACCAAAAGTTGAGCAAAATGCAATTTTCAAAGTACAGTAGACTCCAAAATAATGTAATTAACGCGTGACGCGTCACGAGAAATCGTAGCATAGGAAAATTTTCTTTTTGCACCGCGAATAATATTGCCAATGTGCTAATGTAACCAATGGAATAATTTAAAGTTAACCGAAACCGAAAAACACTTTTGTAGTGTCGCATTGCTATCTAGTCACTGTCCAAACCGCACAAAGTTATGTTCCAACGTCTTCGGTACAGCATAAATAACTGTTTATTTTTACATCGCATAATATGGTATTTATAACTGTGTACGAGTATCATCAATCGAGCGCCCTATTCAAACTGTAACAAGGATTAATTGGGCACGGAAATTGAAGTTCGGTTTTGTACGACTATCGGGGTTCCTACCGTACTCCTCCGAGAGGACAGAGACTCGGTTCGCGCGATCCTCCTCGCATCACGATCGCGAATCCGATTCCACGCGAGCAATCGATTCGGCGTCAATTATGCGCACACAATTTGTAGCTGGTAAGCTTTGCCGACTGATTATCGAGATTTTCAGACCAGGGGAGGAGTCTCTGGGAGATGGAATGTTTATGCAGAGATTCCGTTGTCCCATACTTGCAAAATTAAAGTTGAAGCGAACTCTATATAATTTCGAAGTTTGAACTTGGTAACTGTGGTAATGCTCGTTTGCCTTTGCAGTTGGAATTAAAGCTGCAGCTTATTGATATTACCGATTCTATTATAAGTTGCTTTGAACATTCATTTCTAATCTCCGCAACGCTCATCAAGGTAAATTTATGGTAATTTTATAATTTGGATTTGGTTACGATAGATATTTCTAAGTTTTTGAAGCTGAAATTGAAATAGATTAATTCTATAATCCCATATTTAATAACAGTTGACGTTGGCGATTATTTGCGTCTTTGGAGTAAGCTTCTATTTTTCGGTAAAATGCTTCGGTAATTATAGATAATGATGATTATTGAAGTAAGGAGATGGAAACGGACGAATTTTAATTTTATAGTTCTATCTTGGTAACAACGGATATTTATGATTATTCGAACTTTGAGAGCTAACATTGATATACAATCTTCCTGCTTTCGTTCATCTTTTGAATCGAACTTCATTAACAATTATCGAAATCTTTGAAGTTGATAGTGATAGATAGATCACCTTTAATCGATCTTTTCGTTAGAACTGCGTGCCCACTGATATTTAATGATGTTCAGTGGCCTACATAGGTAATAGGTTGTCTTACAAAAATTCTTGAGAAGATTTGATCTAATTTTGTTTATCTTATTATCAACATACCTTCATTGCTACATCAATGATATATCACGTCGCATCTTACATTCGCAAATATAATTATGATCGTCAGTTTTCATACGATTTGATGCTTGGCGTGTGTAATACGATTCGCATGATCCAGGTACATACATATTCTCATCGAACAGCAGATACGACTGTTGCGACCAGTGTAGGCATGCAATTTAACTACGCATGATGACGCATGCGCAGAGCATCCATCGCGCGAACATTGTAATTCTGAACTAGGCTGGCAACGTGTCGGAGAGCTGCAGATGAATTTACGATGTTCACCCGGTTGACGCTCTGCGCATGCGTCGTCGTGCGTAATTAAATTGCGTGTCTACACTGGTTGCAACCGATCAGATTCGACATAAATGCAGACGCTACGCATAACGATTAACAAAAAGAAAACCGAAGCATCGAATGGTCGCGGTGTCAATTCACACGAATCGCGTGGAACTAACGAAAATCGTTCGCTCAAGCGGAAATAAACAATTTTAGATTCTAATGGAAGAAATCGAAGAGAAATCCGTGCCGAAAACGATTGAAAGTCTTCGCTTTCCCGCGCATAAATACGAAAATATATTATACGATGCTCATCTATGTACATTCGTGTCCAAAAGTTCCGGGTCATGTGTCAATTAAAAAGAAAGTAATTCTTTGCAATCTATTGATAAAAAGAAAATTATGCAGCTAAAATTCGAGGGAAACGACTTTATAAAATTTCAAACGATGGGAAAGATTTTACCTGAAAATATTCTAAGAAAGTATGAAGTAAACTGTGACCCAAAAATTTTGAACAATAATGTATATTTTGTACGCTGGGTGTCGCGTAATTGTTGGTTCAATATAAAGTGCGCCAATTCCTAGTTAAACACGAATAAACCACGAAATGTAAGTGTAAAAGCAAAAGTAAAATAAATTCTGTTTGTATATGTAATTCCGTTACGAACAAAATCGTTCCTAACACGACGGCAGTTATTGAACAGAATTTCGTTTATTTCTCGTTCGTTCTGTTTAAATTGAATCACGAATTAAAGGGCACCCAGAATATTGTATAATATATTTACATAATATATATTTTTGTCTACGCGTCCGCTCTAGCCGAACGGATAAGAGGCTATCGTATTCCGATCGTTTTTACCGGTCTCTCGAGATTTTCACCGAGAACTTTGTATTAATAGATAATATTCATACATAAATATATACTATTGTTATATATCATTATGCAAAAAAATCGGGATCAAGGAATCGCGAATTAACGGGCCAAGTGAAAAACCACTCGGCTCAACCAACAAATTATTGGATCAATTACGATTTTCTTTCTAGGTCACGATTTTTCTGCACAGCGATATATAAATATATTACCGCGGAGTAAGAAAACGCACCGTTATGCTTTTAGGAAAATATTTTTCATATACTCGACGATTGTGTATCGATGCCAATTGCTAATCGTGATAATCATTAATAGAGAATGTTAGATCGACGATCTTTACGCTCGCGGTACAATTAAGATTATAAAACCTCATTGATCTCACGTCCGAATTTCTAAGCGATTAGGAGGTTACTTAAAAACTAGAAAAAATTCGAATTAGTTTGTTGCGAATTGCATTTTCGGTACATAGATCGATCATCTACAGTGATAGGTCGGAAGACTCATTGTTAGTCATTGAATAATTAATGTGAAAACTGTTTGATTTTCGTATAGGTAACAGTAGAAGTACTCGAAATAGGAAACTTAATTGTACCACGATAATTATTCGGAATAAGTGTAAATCGGGACACCAAAGTCCTTGATACGTGCATATGTGTGTACGTGTAATGCAGATCAATCATTTTAAACTCGTCGAATTTAAATTCTGCGTCCAGGAATTATACATTCAACAATCGCAACTTAATTTCCCGATCGATTCATACAGTTTTTCCGTTAACGCCCAGTATCCGACCATTTTTAGAGAACAGTTTCATTTTTTGTCTGATATTCATAAGTGATTACAATGCAGATTGTAAAGCATGCCAGAAATAGTTTATAATAAATAATTCGGGCGTTAATGGGTTAATTAATTCTCTGACAAATCGTTAACAAAAGTGTGCATCGAGAATGTAAGAGTATAAATAATAACGACTAAATACTTACTCGAGACGTGGTTCACAATCTTCGCCGTTTATGAGGAAATTATTAACGTCCATCAGTCAGTTATGAAATTTCGAACAGCGAATCTCTTCTTAGACACGTTGAAACTTGAATAAAATTCACTTCACAACGGTATCAAACGCGCGAAAACACTTCCCGATGTACGTACATGCGCACCACGAAACGAGAATCGCAAGCGATTCGATTTCGATTTTAGCGCGAAATTCAAACCGTGACGTAAACCACTAATCGAGCCGCCGTGTAGACGTAGACGTTTGCAAATTTGTTAAACGACAAGCGACGAAGCATGTGATAACTAAAATTCAATACTCACGTGTACTGTTTAATAGGTTCATGGATTTTTCGAGTAAACTATGCCCTTCATCTGCATTCGTTTAGTATTGGAGTCTTGGCTTTTGAGATTACGGAAAACCCTCAATTTCAATGCTCTTTTATGATAGGTTAAAAGTACATTATCCGAGGGACCAGATAAAACTTGACTATAGTTTAACATGAGAAATTTTCTTCTGGACTTCTCTTTGTTTATTTACGAATTTTATTTGCATTATTATAGATTGTTTAATAGCTTCGTTTCAATAATTAAGTAAATCTAAAAATTACATCTTGAAATTACCGAAATTGTGCATGCAGGTAAGGGGCACAGTAAATTTCAAAATTATGAACGTGTTAAATGTTTAAACGTCTCAGGATAACACGCGTGATTACTGAGTAATGCACGGTAACTTTTTATTCTGTGTAAAATAGAACTTTTTGATAGAGAACACGAACAGCTGCCGGTTGCAAAGAAACACTTTCCCTAATGGCAGAATGACAAATAACATATAGTTGCAAAATTGAAGTATACAAATTGTAATTGCTGATCCCATAAAATTTGCAAAAGTAACAAGATATTATAAATTGAAATTAGGAAAATTCGTTAACTTTTGGTAACCGAGATAATCTAAAAGTATTCTAAATAAGGATCGGTTTATTCAACAAATACTCACTGAGTAGTGTTATACAATACATTAATTTCATAAGTGTCTTTGCAACGTTCGAAAATTTATTAATCTATAGGTGCATGAAGGCAGGTCTAGGCTTTAAGGATTTATCGAGAATTTCGCCGTGAAATGGGTAAGTGAACGATCAACAATTTACGTCAAATTAACAACGTTCATCGAGAATGAAATGGGTTTAGATCTAAATTGGTGTAATATTGATGTTGATTTAAAGTCTACTTTATTACGAATTTTCGATCAATTAACTGAGAAACGAATGATGTGAGAATTTGGCTACTGTAAAATAAATTGCACGCCAACAGGTATTCCGCTGTTATCGCTTAATGTCTTTGCAAATTAATCTGCGCGATGTATTTGTTGCCTGCAACGGAACCCTCGTTGTCGTGCAATACTAAAATAACAGCAACAACAAAATACTCATGCCGTCTCGAAAAAGTGCTCTTCTAAGTAAAATTGTTATTATAGGGCAAATCGTCTATTATTATGCGTTAATTGGATACGCATTCGCGTAATAAGCCTGTAATTGTATACCGCTGCGTATATAACTAATTATTATTATTACTATTATTATTATTATTAATGACGATATACATTCCTGTAAAAAACAAAAAGTGAAATGGTATGATTAAAATACAATAAAATGTTGACAGGAAAATGGGGAACAGTCTTTTTAAAATTCTTTTGTGTACATACAATTATAATAAATGGACAAACTCAACGAACGACCCAGTGCTTTGATTGCAATGTATTTTTCTAAAACGTGGGACAATATTAATAAAAGTATAAGATACAGTCACGAGTGAAATAACAACAAAGATAGAATAAAATTCAAACCATAGAAAACAATATTACGCATAGATTTACCAATACATTATCAACATAATATAAAGCTCGAATGCGATACGAATAAAATTGATACAAAGGGATTTTTTTGTTGCACATATACTGTTGTTGCTGACGTTTATACAATTCATTTGTTTTCTTCACTTTATAAACATTCACGGGGAAGGGAACAATAGGAACCTTTTCTTTACTTGTGCCCACTTTTTTGCCATATTAAACAATAAAGTGTCTTTACATAACTATAATAAGTATATAATTTTGTTTGCAAACACTTCGCCTTATGTGAACAGAAGTATGATATAGGACTCTTCATTTAGTTGGACTAGCAGTATTGGCAGACCATTGTGTTGGCTAGTTCTCAATGGTTGTACGTTTTGTGAATTGTAGTGGACTTTCATGAAGCTAATTTACATAGCCATTCTGAGTATAATATACTCTGTAATAAAGCGTTTTGCTCCGCCAAAGTGAGTATGAATTATCAAATTTAAGAAGATACACTCCCTGCAACAAGAAGATTTATGAGAGATATGTATACAGAATAATTCACAATAGAAGCATTTGATTTAGATTTGCTTACCTGTCCAGGGTATCTATGACTTCCCGCATAGATTTCTTCTTGAGAATCTCTCCTATATACCTGTTGATAAGAATATTCAAGTATAAAATGGCTGATAGTATTGAAACTTGAATCCATAATAACAATGAAAGATTCTTTTTATATACTCACAGGTACTATCTCACTTATAGGCGGTGATGGTAGTTTATAATCAGACTGAACACTACCATTTGATACTCCACTCTCTAAATCTTCCCTTAAAACATAATCATCCTCATCTTCATCCTCATCTTCAGATTCAGTAATATGTACTGACACTTGACTTGTTTCTGGCTTTGACCACTCAAAATATACCCCAAAACCAATATCATAACCATCCGTTGCGAACTCCCAAAACAGACACGAGCCATCTTCATGTGTTGGCACTCTCACAGTCACTGTTTCTCCATGTCCAACTTTAATAACTGCATCACCAGCTTCTCTCCTAATGGTTTCTTTAAACTCTTCGACACCTTTTATTGTCCACATTTCAGCAGGTGCTATAGGTGGCCAATCCAATTCATCCGAGTCTTCTCCATTTAATGGTGCTGTTTCTTCAGTTTCTTTAGTTGGCTCTTCCTTTTCAGGTTCTTCTGTTGTGGCATTGTTTGTTTCTGGTGTTTGTTCTTCTGCGACTAACTGATTCTGACGCAATTGTTGCATGTATTGATGATAATGTTGCTCTTGTAACTGCCTTATTAAAACGCCTTGTTGTTCTGGGTTTCCAGGATACTGTTGTTCTGCATACATTTTAAATTGATAATACGTTTGCTGATTTAAGGCATCTTGAATTTGTCTCCTCTGTAATTCTTCCTTTAACCTAGCTTCTTCTTCCTTTTTCTTTTGTTCATCTAGTTCTTTCAATCTTTTCTCTTCTTCTAATTGTCTTGCCTCTTCTTCTTTCTTTAGCCTTAATTTTTCTTCTATATCCCTTTTTTGCGCTTCTACAACTGTTCTGAACAAAGGACACAATTTATCTAATAAAACTATAAATCCCTCCATAGCCTGATCTTTAGATATATCTCCCAAATTTTGCCATGCCAAACGTCTGTCCCTTCCGATCACATCCAATACACCCAAAGGCGGAGCATTTTCTGCTGTACATTTCCCATGTGTTACTTGTTGTGTAAAAGCAACTAATTTTAACTTATCTTCGTAAGATAGATGAACTGCTTTCCCTTCCTTCTCTGTAACAATTGTAAACATTTCTTATATCACGTCAATCGTTTCTTTTAAGTAAACTATACAAATCAACGAAGCTAAACATCAAAATCAACAAAGTTATCATAAATAAAATTCCCGTAAAATTATATATTTTAGATTATTATACTACTACGAAAATGTGACAGAGTAACATAATGTTGAACATTTTTCTGGACACATTATATTTTTCGACATAAGACAAAAAATTAAACAGCAAGACTATAGCAAACTGTCACTGTGACTAACTCACCTTTATAGAAATTTACTGCCATTTTATAGAGTTCTCGGGTCTCAAAACCCCAAAGACGAGGCTCGACTTTTTTCTCCTTTTCCGTGTCATTGTCATTTTTCGTTGATTCATCGGCAGATATTCCTAATTTTTCGATTTTCCTCCCCATTGAGGAAATGTCACCATTGGTGCCCGCCATTTGCAATTGCACTGACACGTCAATTACTGTCGCTACGAATGCCTTAACCTTCGTTCACGAAGCGCACATAGTGATTCAAACATTTTCAATATTTTTGGGGAGACAAAGTTCTATTATAAGGTGTTTTATTTCGAGTGATTCTCTTTATAGTAACATTTGTATATATAAACCACATATAGTATCACCATTTGTAGTTAATTTCCACAACACAAGGAACGACGCAGCTGATGTAACGGAGTATACCCGCAACTTCGATGAATCCAATCCTATAGTACGTAATAACAAAAGCTACCAAAGTGTACTTCTTTTAATTTAAAAAATATTATTGTATTGTAATTCGATATTTATATATACATTGCAATTAATTTAATACACTTATTGAGAAAAGAGCGATCTATAATTACAGAACTTTGAAATCATAAACATTTCAGTCGGGAAAAAATTTATTTTGATCACGTGGTACCGGCATCAGACGTCATGCTTAGATTCAAATGTCAATTGCAAATCAAATATTATTATCACTATTAAACTACAGACTAGGTTAGAAATAAACTGATTACGGTATGGAGTTTCATCTTACACAATATGGAATATTGAAGTACTAATTAAAAAGCAGCTGTACTCTAATGCCTATGATGTGAAGCATGAAAGCTTGTTATATTTATGGAAAAGAATTCCCAATGATTGTAGCCAAAGCAAAAACATTGAAGACAATAATAACGCTCATGTGATATCACTTCTGATACTTGACATATCTGATAGTCAACCACAGGATATTGAAGTACGTTTAAAAGTAATCTAAAAAAACCAGTTTCACTTCAATTTATTTTTTCTTGCGTACAAGATAAATTGCAGATTTTGTACATTGTCAGTATATTAAGTATAAGTGTTCTTTTATGGGTTCCACAGGATACTGAAAATGGAAATACTGTAAATTCTTCTTACTTAATGCTTAGATTATACACAAAAATGGACAATTTTGGAAGAGAAGATACGATTATTCGAGGCTCGTGCCTCATTTTTATAATTGCCGATTGTTAACAATTATAAAAACGAGGTGCAAGGTTCGACTAATTATATCTCCTCTTCCCAAATTGCCCATTTTTGTGTAAAATCTGAGCGTCAATTAGGGAGGATATATTGTATATACACTGATGTAAATTTTAGTATTACAAGTTCAATTAGTAATAACACTCATGTGGAATCACTTCTGATACTTATTCCACTATCTAAGACATGAGATTTTTTATTCTGGCCAAAAGATATAACCAATACAAAAACTAAAGGAAGGTGTCTGTCATCTGTGTTATCTTCGCAAGGAGGTCTACACTGATATTGTGAAGAAGAAAAAAGGAATGAAGAAGAAAAATTGCTATGAAAAAATATCAGAAAAGAGAAAGCATCAATAAAAAAAGAGAAACAAACAAAAAAAGGCAATAATATGTAATATAAAAAGACCCTAAAATAATAATTTGAAGTATTGATTTTATCTAGTTTTTTCTATGTGCATTAACATATTTAAATACTAATAAAAACGTAATGATTTTCTACTCGACCTATCGTTCATTTCAGATTTTTTATATCTAATATTACCTATACCTATTTAATTAAAAATAGCTTTTAAGTTTTAATTTAATACTGCGTAGACATGAAAATACGTGGCATAGAAATATGGACAGACACGAAAGTACGGAGCACGGAATTATGTGCAGAATTTCTAGAAGGGCACGGAATTATGGCCAGAAACACTTTTTTTTATTTCATTAAAAATATTATTAAATTAGTAATTTTTATTATGCAAAAATATGCTGGAAATTAAAAATGTCTAAAAAATCGAATTATATTTTTAGTATATTAAATGAAAATTCTAGTATTTAATAAATATTTAATTTCGATCAAGCAAAACTTGGCTTATAGTCATGATAATTAGGACATCTACCCTAGCCACAGACAAGATCTGAATTACCGACTCTATAGGAAATAATGTACGATAGTGGACTCTATCTAAATGCAACGGTCGGTCAGCTAATAAACTATATATATCTGACTGCACAGAGAAAAATGTGTGTCTGAGGTGACAAAATTACAGCGTTGGCAGCTTTTAAAAGTACATTCTTGCCGTAATGCAGAAACGGACTCTAAGCGACAAGATTTTTTATTTGATAAACTTACATTAAATAATTATATGGCTATTCGTTGACTTGTTCAAAAATACATTTTTTAATTTTTATATATATTAGATTGCTATAAATTTTGAAAATTTTAATTCAAAATAAGTTCCCGTGCATTAAAAAGTACACGGGTTAATACACAGATGTATTAACTACACGTACATACGTGTATTTAAATGACGTGAAATAGGGGATAAACCACGAAGGGATAAACCACCAGTCACCAGCATAGTAGCAGATAATTAGCGAGTAGGGAAAGGTGGGGCGCTCGATCTGGTCTACCCAACCTGAACGTGACGTGCGTCCCCCCTCCCCACCCCGCCCATCTTCCTGACCTTGTTATTAACAACTTCAATATGAGCCGTTTATTTTGAAAGTGGCATAAGTCACTTTTTCAAAAAAATCGAGTTAATGGTAACACTAATTACAATTGAACGGCATCTTTTCATTTTTAAAAAATTTGCAATCAATAAGTTGAAAACTATTGGGATTTGTTTGAGAGAAGTTTTCCTAATTAACGGTATAACAAACATGTTTATTTTGAAAGTGGCATAAGTCACTTTTTCAAAAAAATCGAGTTAATGGTAACACTAATTACAATTGAACGGCATCTTTTCATTTTTAAAAAATTTGCAATCAATAAGTTGAAAACTATTGGGATTTGTTTGAGAGAAGTTTTCCTAATTAACGGTATAACAAACATGTTTATTTTGAAAGTGGCATAAGTCACTTTTTCAAAAAAATCGAGTTAATGGTAACACTAATTACAATTGAACGGCATCTTTTCATTTTTAAAAAATTTGCAATCAATAAGTTGAAAACTATTGGGATTTGTTTGAGAGAAGTTTTCCTAATTAACGGTATAACAAACATGTTTATTTTGAAAGTGGCATAAGTCACTTTTTCAAAAAAATCGAGTTAATGGTAACACTAATTACAATTGAACGGCATCTTTTCATTTTTAAAAAATTTGCAATCAATAAGTTGAAAACTATTGGGATTTGTTTGAGAGAAGTTTTCCTAATTAACGGTATAACAAACATGTTTATTTTGAAAGTGGCGTAAGTCGCTGTACTCAGGAAATTAATTGC